TAAGGAAGCAGAGTGCTGCCCCATGGCAGGTCAGTGGTGGTTACTGTGGGACGTCCTGGAAATGGACCTGCACTGTGGGTCTCCATAGACACGGGATGGCCAGACGAGACAGGGGTCTTCCCGTGGCTTGCACCAGGGATGTGAGAACGTTTCTCATTTTATCCCTAAACTTAGAGTCTGCGCTGCCCTGAATCCTAACTTATAGGATGACACTCATCCGCTGGGCGCTGCAGCACCGTCTGGGAACTGGCAGAGGAACGGAGTGTGTCTGGGCTCTGAGCAGGAAACGAAGTGAGGGCCTGAAACCCTGGGAACCGATTCCCGCGCAGGGCTGGGCGTTGGGTGATGCAGCAAATGCGTTTCTGCTTTCCTCCCTTTGGAAGGCTTTCCTTCTCCCCTGGGGCCTGGGAACCCGGAGGAGATGGGCGCTCTGGGATGCCACACCCTTGGGTGCCCCGTGGGCCCGGCGGTGGTGATGGTGACCGTGACAACGGCATCTGACAGACAGGACTCAGCGGGGTCCTGCCGTAGGTGACGTGTGCTGGTTCACGCTTTGTTCTCACAAAAAGCTCAGAGCCCGCCCCGTCACGGTCCCACTGTACAGAGGACAGGGAGGCACCGAGGGACACGGGGGTCGGTGGTGGAGTGAATTCACAGCCAGGCAGCTCCTCCCCTCCACCCACGAGGGAGTGAGACCCTGGCCACTGTCATTCCCGCCCCCTCTGCCTCTCCAGGCTCTGGTCCCGGGCACCTCAGCGTCTTCAGCCGTGATTCTCCCTGCGGTTTCATCCAGTGTAGACTGCGTCTCTTCTGTGGCAGTTTCTCTTTTAGCCTCAGTGACTGTGTAATTTATTTCCAAGATATCTAATTGGGTCTTAATTTTATTGTTATCTTATTTCTCCCTATTTTTGGTAAATACCTCCTTGGTTTTCTTAATCTATTTTTGTCGGTCTCAGAGAGGAAGGGAGAGGGAGAGAGAGAAACATCCATGAGGAGAAAGAATCACTGATGGGCTGCCTCCTGCACGCCCCCTACTGGGGATCGAGCCCGCAACCCGGGCACGTGCCCTGACCGGGAATCGAACCGTGACCTCCTGGTTCCTAGGTCGAAGCTCAACCACTGAGCCATGCCTGCCAGGCTAGTGTTCTGACCATTTAGACAGCTCCCCTCCCATCTGACTGCACAGACCCTCAAAACCCAGGACTTGGGGTGAACAGGGAGCTGATGCCCAGAGGGGAAGCCCAGAAAGGGCAGAGTCCTCGAACTTCGGGGGAAGAGAGGTAGACAAGGGGCCGAATTCTGGCTCCGCTGTTTGTTCTGTGGATCCTGCTCGAAGAGCTTCAGAGACCCCTCAGCCTGACCCATCTCCCCGAAGCCCAGTGGTGCCACCAACCAGTGACCCGTTTTGAAGTTTTGCTCGGAAGAGGACCCCCTGGAGAGGGGCTGGGGAGTGTCAGTGGGTTTCCTCCTAATTCTCTTCCTCAGGTCACCTCTGTCCCAGTTGTGTCAATCCTGGCCCCCGGCCCCCCGTTTGCTGAGCACAACCCTTTGCCAATTACATAGCACTCAGGTGTGACCCAGGAGTTGGACATCCGTGGCGAAGGGTTGTGGGCAGACTACGGGCGATCGCGGTCGCCTTGTGCCTCATCTCCTGGTACCTTGCAGGGTGCCAGCCCCGGGCACGCTGGCAGGCACTGCTGGAGTGCTGGGAGCGGAAATATCCAACGGCTGCCTTTGGCCTCCAGGACTGCGCGGGAGAATGATTTGCAGGGATGGAGAGAGGCCACTGGGCTGGCCCCAGATGTGATCTACTTTTCCCTCGCACAAACCCAGGGCTGACATAAATCTTTGCACTCTCCCATCCCACCCATGCCGGGCTCCTTTCCCCCTCTTGTTCTTCATGAACATAAATAAATCACTGGCAGTCATCCTATACCCACGCCCCCGCACATGGAGTTCAGGGCCGCAGCCAGGGGCTGGGTCAGCGAGAGCGGCGCCCTCGGCCTTCTCCCACCCACAGCATCTTACAGATGCCTTTGTTCTGGTTGTTGGGCTCAGAGCTGGTGAAATGAGCAATGGGCCTTGGCCGGCCCTGCGAGCCTGGCATCCTCGCCGGGCCCAGCCCCCCTGCTGGAGCCCACACTCCTCAACTTCCCCTGCCCTCTCCTCTTCCCCATCTTTTAACTTCTTGCCCACCGCTCCGCTGGGGCCCTGCCTAGTGACTCCTTCGCCTGATACATGAGTCCGAGCAGGTGTGCCGGGCAGGAGCAGCCAGGCCTCCCTTCGTGGTCTTTGGCGAGTCACCGCCTCCTGCTGGACCGCCGTTTTCTCACCTGTAAAACGGGAACGTTCCCGTGAGATGACGCCCAGCATTGTGGTCTGCAGCGGGGCCATTTAATCAAGCTATTTTGAAAAGAAGGAAAGGTCGTGCTGGTTGCATTTGCAGTGGGACTTGGCCTCTGGTCAGGAGACCGTGGTCCTTCGGAAGAGGGCCCTCCCGGAGGCCTGGCCATTGACCTGGAGACCAGAGACCCGGAGATGGCTGAGGCCCAGCTCACCTGGCATTGAAAGCGTGTCATCTAAGTTGCTCTCTGGACAAGGCTGGGCCTCAGTTTCTCCAGCCTGAGACTTGAGCAGGTGAAAGCAGATGACACCTCAGGCCTTTTTCATGCTGAGGGTCCATCATCTGGTCTTTAATGTATGCTAACGACTGACAGCGTCGATGGGCCTCCTGGGTACAGTGTTGGCATGTTCACATCCCTGAAGTGCTGTAAGCCCAGGCAGCCATGTGGATATCAGATAAAGGGGTTTGCTGCTGAGAGAGAGAGAGAGAGAGAGAGAGAGAGAGAGAGATCTGGCCAGGAGGCCTTTTAGTAACAGCACAATTTACTTTCTACAGGGCGGTCAGTCTGCACACATGACCAGAAGAGCACATGACATGACAGAGAGGACTCTGCAGACCAATCTCCCCGTGTCTCGCTTCTCACTGACCTGAAAATGGTGCGAGAATGTCACACTCCTCCCCCCCTCCCTGCCTCCTGTTGTGTCTGTTGAGGTTACTATTCTGTGTCAGCGGAAGCAGGCGGGTGTGGGGAGGGTGGGAGGCCCGAGAAAGGTGTGAGCGACCTGCCCAGCTGCTCCTCTTGCAGAAACACTGCCCCCACCCCTGCCCCCCTTCACAGCTCGCTCCATAGTGGCTGCCAGCACTGCATCCCCAGGACCGGGCCCTAGCAGGGTCCCTGCTTTGGCCTCACCCTCCCCTCCTGGTGCCAAAAACCTGCATTTACAACTGACCACCCTCCTCCTTTTATCGTTCTGGGCCCTGGGGCGAGTGGCCTGGTCTGGCGCCTACCCCTCACGCAGGGTCTCCCACTCCCACAGGGCCTGAACGGTGGCATCCAGGTGGCCACTGGTGCCCACCTTGCCATCCTACCTGGGACTTTGCGGTACTTTACCGGGTCCTACGGATCCTAAGGCTTCTTCTGCCCATTGACTGCCGTTCCCATGGCTGCAGCCCCCTGACCTCCACCCCAAACGCTCCCTCGGCCCCTCCTAGGAGGACACAGTGCCATCGACGTTTCTCTGCACATATACACTCTGTCACCATCTAGAGTCACGGAATAGAGAGGGCAAGGGGACTAAGTTGCCTGGTTTGGGGTAAACTTGGCACAGGCGACCTTACGAAGCTAAAGTGCTTGGGGCAGGTTTCCCCCTGTTTATTTCAGCTGAGGGACCATTTCTTCCAGGGAACCTGAGGGGACAGGGCTTGTCAGGCCTCCCACCTCGCAGCCCCGCCCTCCGCCTTTCACGCTAGCCATTGGCTGGTGTCTGGGGTGGTGTCAGGAAGCTGGTTTCTGGTTCCTCAGGGATGACAGTGCGGAAGGCGGAAGGGCCAGGCCTGGCCTTGTGGCCTTTAAACCCCGATACATACATATATTGTCGGGCCCTAGCCGGCTTGGCTCCATGAGTAGAGTGTCGGCCCGTGGACTAAAGGGTCTCACGTTCGATTCTGGTCAGAGGCACGGACCTCAGTTGCAGGCCCGGTCCCCGGCCCTGGTCGGGGCACGTGCGGGAGGCAACCATTCGATGGGTCTCTCTCACAGCGATGTTTCTCTCTGTCTCCCCCCGCTCCCTTCCTCTCTCTCTAAAAATCAATGGAAAAATGTCCTCCGGTGGATTAACAACGACAAAACAATCTTCTTCGTTGGGCACCAGCAGGCCTGTCTTCTGAGCACCAGGCCCCCTCTCAGGAGGGGGTCGGGCAGAGCCCTGTCCTCTGGTTGCTGAACGCCTTTGTCCTGCCTCGTTCCCAGGCCCTGAAGGACCCCACCCTGGCCGCCCGGAAGGACTTCCAGCGGGAGGCGGAGCTGCTCACCAACTTGCAGCACGAGCACATTGTCAAGTTCTATGGCGTGTGCGGCGACGGGGACCCGCTGATCATGGTGTTTGAGTACATGAGTCTTCCTACCCAGAGCATCGCTGCGGGGGGAGCTTGTAGGAAATGCAAATGAACTCGCTCCACCTAGCCAATCAGAATCCTGGGGGGTGGGGGGTCCAGGGAGCTGATTAACAAGCCCTCTTGGTGCTCCTGAGCCACATGTCTGGCTTCCTCTGCTCCTGCTCACCCCTGTGTTCCCTCGGAGGTCTCTGACGTTGGCCAGGTGATGTGATCACTTTGTGCCTCAGTTCTCTTATCTCAGAATTGAGGTGGGAGGGTTAGTGAATGAATATATTTAAGATACTTGGAGCAGTGCGTGGAACAGAGTAAGGGCCTTGTAAGTGTTAGTCTGGGTTTTATTAAATACTCTATATTAGACCTCTAGAGCCTGGGCAACCCTGGATATAAACGAAGGAGTCTAGAGGAGAAGGGGTATTTCCTGACCCCTGGAGCCCATCTGTCGTCTTCGTGTGGAATCTGGATCAGTGTTTCGCCCACGTCTACACTCACACAATACATTTTGCTGTAGACAGAAATAGGCCATAGCCGGCTGAGAAGGGAGATGGTACGCACTGCCGTGGACCATTCCAGAAACCTCCTGAATTCTCTCTGCCCCTCGCTTCTCCCCGACCCCCGCAGGGCCCACGGGCCAGACGCCATGATCCTTGTGGACGGGCAGCCACGCCAGGCGAAAGGCGAGCTGGGGCTCTCGCAGATGCTGCACATCGCCAGCCAGATCGCCTCGGGCATGGTCTACCTGGCCTCCCAGCACTTCGTGCACCGGGACCTGGCCACCCGGAACTGCCTGGTGGGGGCCAACCTGCTGGTGAAGATCGGGGACTTCGGCATGTCCCGGGACGTCTACAGCACCGACTACTACAGGGTAAGGGGCCTTTCCGCGGCAGGACGCCAGGGCCAAGCTCGCGCCTCGCTTACGTGTCTTCGTCATTGTCCATTAACCCCGTCACGCGGAGCGCACGCACACACGCCACGCCCACACCTGCACTAGTGATTGTCCTCTGGCCACGCCTACATCCTGGCATCTCCTCCTTCCCTCTTGGATGTTTACCTCCACTGCACCCTGACACTGAAATGCCACGTGCATTGTGCTCTCACATGTATCATTAGCAGCACTCATTCTTCGTGCAACTATATATATATATATATGTATGTATTTGTATATATATATGCATATACACACACACACATACACATACATATATACACACGTGTGTGTGCGTGTGTGCGTGTATATAGATTTGCATGTATATCCGCAAGTGCACACACAGACAAACCCGACTGGGTGCTGCCTTTCGGCACCTCCAAGTCAGGCCCCGATCCAGGCCCCCCCCCCCC